CAAAATCTTAAGGGTTCTTCTCTACCCAATTCTCTCATGCAACTCTACATATAAATAATTCCTTTTTTCCCCCGTACCTGGATAAACAGTAGTTGAACTAAAACATGGATCTCTTGGTCTCCTCCTCTAAATGCCCCTTCGTCTTCAGAGAGAAGAAGAGGGAAAGAAGAGAGAACAGAAAATATTAGGAAGAGAGAATGAGAGATGTGTGAAAATGAGAGGTAAGGGACGCTATTTATAGGATTTCAGGCTCACCTACCGGAACGGCCAGTTCAAAAGTGGAACGGCCGTTCTGGGCCCTTCGAAACTACGCAAAATTCTCAACTGGAACGGCCTGTTCCAAAACTAGAATGGCCCGTTCTCAAAACCAGCAGAACGACCCGTTCTCCCACCAGAACGACCCGTTCTCCAAACCAGAACGGCCCGTTCTCCAAACCAGAACGACCCGTTCTCCAAACCAGAATGGCTCGTTATGCTTCTCCAATTTTGGCCATTTATCTTATTTCAGAACGACCCGTTTCACTTTTGAAACGGCCCATTCCAGGCAATCAATTGGGCCTCTAGCTCAGCGATTTTGGTCTGTTACAGTATGCAAGGTACTATTGAACTAGATTGACCAATCCCTCTGAGAAGTTGTTGAGCAATCTTGAGGTTGAACACAGGGCAAGGAGGAACAATAGCAACAGGAGGAGAAGGAGAATTAGAGCAATTCAAGTTGGTCACAGTCAGACTCGGGACCGGGAACAAGCGCTTCCTGGGAGGCAACCCAGAGATCTGAACTTTGTTTATGTGTTTCTCATCTCATTCGTGTTTTAGATTTTAGTGTTAATGTTTGTTATGCATAGTTGTTTTGTGTTGTATGTTGTCTTGTGTTATATGTTGTTTTGTGCTATATGTTGATTGTCAAAATCATGCTTGAGTAGGTAAATATAGGGTACATCTCGTTTGAAATGTGAGGAATGAGGTAACTCTGGTTCTGGGTGGAGATAAGGTCTTCTCTTAAAAGAAAATTTAGGCAAATTGACCACCACCACGCCGGGCGCGCTTAATTCACGCCCGACACGATATCATATTTTGGAACCTCGTGGATTTTTACTGATACCAAGCCCGGCGCATCTGTTCTGCGCCCGGCGCACAACTTTCCTGACAGCCAATATTTATCTATTTTCAATCATGTTTCTTTATGTTCTGTTTGTGTGCTTTATGTTGCATTGTCATAGTCCATTTCCGTGTGCATGCATGTTGTGCTTAATTTTGGTCTAAGGATATTCTTCTCCATTTTTGCTATAATTTCTTGGTCATCACTGTGTATAATTTTTGTGCTCACCATGTTCTTTCATGATTACACTCTGCAACCACTTCTGGTTACCAAGACTTTCAGGCATATACTGGTTGGCCTGGGGACCAGGCTCCTAAGTTTGGGGGAGTGGAGCTACTGATGCTGACGGAGCTGATGATGGTGGAGCAGCTGCTGATGGTGATGACCAGACCCCATAGATGGAAGCAGATGGAGCCTACCTTAGTTTACCTTTGTTTATTACAATTTATTTTTCTGTCTTTTATTTTCACTATGTTAATTGTTTTTATATCTAGTTCTTTTTGGTGATTACTATGTTGGTTCCCTTTTTGTGAATATTCTGCTTTAGCACGACTTTTAATCTTGTTGATACTTGCTTTGTTTGTGGTCGATTCTGGATTGTGGTTTGCTTGATGTTTGTGGTGCGTGTACCTTAGACATTTTCAAGTCACGTTAGATCTTTAGTTCATGACTAGTTGCATACGGGTTTCAATGTTGATCATAGAACTGAGCTAAGTTTGATAATTTGTGGATGCATAGCCGGGTGAGGTTTGAGCCTAAATACTGATGAGTGAACTACACTTAAGTTGCATGATAGACTTTGCTTGAGTTTCCCTGGTGGTTTGCTAGTGTAGTGTGTTTACATGATCAAGGCATTCATATTCCTTTATTTTGTTAACCATATAAGCCAAAAAGCCATCTCCACTTTTCATCTGACCCATAGCTTCCTAAGCCTAAACACCACACCTTCCACTTATCCCAAACCGTGAAAAATTAACCATAACCTCTGGTTTGGTTAAGAGAGCAAATTGATGACATCAAACAAGTTTGGGGGAGTTGAAGAATGAGGAATTTGGGAAGAAGAAAGTATGTGGTTAGCCATTCAAAAAAAAAAAACAAAACAAAACAAAAAAGAGAGCATAAATATTAAGATGCAAAAGTGTAAATATGCATCACATTGGTATCAGAGCTAGTGGTTCGACCAAGTGGCTGGTGATCGGCTCAGACGAGTATTGACTGGATCCAAGAGTGGGATCCTGAATGGAATTGGCAGGAGATCCAAGAGTAGGATCATCCTTTGTATTGAAAGTCTCCCTAGAGGTATAGAGGACGTGTGTCGTTGAAGCGCATCAGTAGTGCAAGTAATGCCACCATTGAATACTTGTGGAAGAAAGAAAAGCTTCCGCTTGAGGGGGAGCGTGACCATGTGGAAGGGATTCACACTTGAGGGGGAGTGTTAGAGTTCAAGTGTGAAGTGAAGTCACACATTAGAGAGAGTTGGGCATGTTGAGTAATATATAAGTGAGAAAGACCCACCTACCTAATGCCTTAAGGTTTTAGGTTATGTTGTGGTGTCAAACTCACTTGTGTGACTTACTCACTACCCATTGTAGAATGCTCTCCTAGTGTTAAAAACTTCCCAACAACAAATTCATCCTATCCGAAGATTTTGACAGTGTTGAGTCACATAGACTTTTTTGAAGATCATGAAGATGAACTCGTTAAATTATTGAATTTAAGATGGTGTGCCATACCTGAGTTGTTGAATTCCAAAGATGTTGAATTATGAAGATGCATGCACGAGAGAGAATGATGAAAGAATCAGGAAATTGAAGACAAATTACAAGTTTAACGAATGTGAAGAGATGAAAAAGGAAACGAAACATTCCACTCGTTGAGTTTTTTTGAAAGAGATATTTCCACGCGTATATTATCTCTTTGCACACTGTCACATGTATATAGTATCTCTTTTAAAGAGACGCTAAATATTCAATATCTCAAGTCAATGATAAAAATTATAATAATGTATATAAAAATATTTTAAAGATATTTTATAAGATTGAATTATATATTAATATATTTTTAAAAATAATATTAAAATTAATTTTAATATTTTTTGTTGGTGGAATTTTCAGATCATCCAGAAAAACGGTTATTAGATCACTCACAAATGATATTTAAGGATATAATTTTTTTTACATCAAAGATAAGATCATATTAGTCTAAGCAAGTGAAAAACAATCATTACTTTACACATCAATTTTATAAGGTTGAATTTTACTCCAATTCAATTTTTAAGACAAATTTTTTGATATTATTTTATTATTTAAATATATTTTTAGTCTTTCAAATTTAAAATAAATTTATTTTTGATGATTTTCAAAAATCTTGTTTTGCTCTCTTAAATCACCAATAATACATCAAAAAGTGACGGATCGAAACTTAATCTGATGTTTTTATCTACAATAACACCGGTAAATATATTTTTTATGATACTATTTAATAATATTTTTGACAAAATTTGATTATAAAGACTAAAATAATTTTTTTAAAAAATTACAAAGAATAAAAAAATCAATTTTAAGTTTAAAAGACAAAAATAAATTTAATTTAAATTTAAAAAACTAAAATCATATTTAAACCTATTTTATTTTACAAAATTATCTTGCAACGTATCCTTTATTTTCTTTGTATATTTTCTTTGTATTTAAAAAACTAAAATCATATTTAAACCTATTTTGACAGGGTACTTTATTTCGACCTGTACTACACCCACACGAAATTAGCCATCTTGCAACGTATTCTTTATTTCCGATACCCCATATGGGGATGACAAAAATACCCGTACCTGCAGGTATTTGTGGGTAAAATCCGCTACGGATAATAAATGGATAAACTAATTGAGTACACACAAATAATGGGAACGGATAATTTTTTACCCGTTTATAAATGGGGCGGTGGCAGGTATGATGATATCCATACCCGCGGATACCTGTTGAATAATATTTCTTAAATATCCTAATTATCCTTGTATCACATAACCCTAAAATTACACCTTCTCTTCTTATTTTCTTACAAAAGTGAGGTTGATGAAGTTACCAACATGTGTTAAACATGTTATATAATTATGTTGGATGTAATTTGATTAATTTTCTAACTTTGATTGAATCAATAAATTTTGATGTATTTTAAGTCGTTTACTTTTGTTTGAAATTATGAGATTGAATTATTGTAACTTTGTGATAAGACTTTAACTTACTTGTGAGATTGATGTATTTTAAATTATTGATTATCTTGTAGTTTATTATTATTTCAACAAAATTAACGTTAAATACAAGTTCAAAATTAACATTAATTTTTTATTTTTTAATATTTCAATGACATTAAATATAAACTTAAAATTATTTATAATTAATTTTTTTAATTTCTTACAAAATTTTATAAATATCCATGGATATCCACGGATATCCGTAGGTATTCAAGAAATTCATAGATACCCGCTTAATGGATACCCGCGCGGATATGGAGTAGGTACGAGACCAATTTCATCTAGGGGAACGGGGACGAGTTTACTATTACCTGCCCTTATGAAGTTCCATTGCCATCCCTAACCCCATAAATAATACCAACCTGAAATGTATTTCTTTCACCAATTTTTGTAGGGTAGGAAAATTTTGATCACCCCTAATCGCAACCCAAATGTAATTCTGAAATAGTTTTTAGAATGTTAAAACATAATTCAAAAACCTAATTTCTAGGAAGAAGTATTTACGACAAAAAGAAAATAAATAATAAAATACAAAGAAAGTGTACAAAATAAAAGAAGTAATGGACCTGGGCCATGTATGGTGAGGCCCATCATCAGAGCCGCCCAACCCAACCCCAAAAGCCACAGAACCCAGTTTTGACGTTTCCTTTCCCTTTTTCTCGTTTCCACAAGCTTCCCGAATTTTTGAGACGTTTCCCGAATCGTTCACACTCACACGTTGCTGAAACGATATATCTGAATCCCACACTTCCTATTCGAAAAACTTTATAAGATTGTTTGTTTTTGAGTTTCTGTCTAATCGTTCGAATGGCCAAAGACGGACCCAACTGGGATGGATTGCTCAAATGGAGCATTGCTAACTCCGATGGAACTCGCCCCACGCGCAATTTAAGGTCCAAATTCAATTTTAGCTTTTTTATTTGCCCAGTTCTCTTGAGTTGAAGTTGCGTTTGTCCTCTTTATAATGGTTCGGGTAAATAAAACTATCAAAATTTCGTTTTTACTAGTTGTAGTTGCTGGAAGACGCATACCCATGTTTCAAAATCAGTTTTTGAATTAATATATATATATATATATATATATATATATATATATATATATATATTTGCAGAGAGAGTGAGGAAGAGAGGATATATATATATATATATATATTTATTTGCAGAGTGAATGAGGAAGGTAGGTTCAATGATTAGTGGACTGGGGTATGATTTTGCGATTTGTGATTCTGTAATTTGTTATATTCTTTTGGGGTAAAACATTGTTCGTGTGGTTGAATTTGTGTTAATATTACTACAGTATGATTTTGTAAATTTATGATTGCCTAGTAATGTTTTTTTCTTCGGGGTTGTAGTTGCTGAAATGTGTATTAGCGAAATTTTAATGTTTTTGAAAAGAAAAGGTTCTTGTAGTTTAATGAATCAGGAGGATTGAGTTAATATTGTGTGGACTATGATTTGATTTTGTTAATTTTGTAATGCTGTAGTTGAACAATGTATGAAGGTTTCTGTTTCCCTAGTTTTAGGCTTTTGTTGCAAAATTGCATACCTATTTGTGAAAAACTGAAAATTTAGTTGTTGTAATTGTTTTTTTGAAAAACAAATTGCTTATTGTAGTTAAAACTTAAAAATGAATAAGGAGGGCGAAATTAATATTCGATGGACTTGGTTCTGATTTGTGATTATGTAGTGAGGAGGATAGGAGATGGTTTATGGAAGCAATGCAAGCACAGACCATTGATGTTGTAAAACGTATGAAAGAGATCACACTTGTAATGCAAACTCCAGAGGAAGTGTTGAAAGACCAAGGAGTGACTCCTGCTGACATTGAAGGTATTTAACATTTACTGAAGTGCAAGATTAGCTAAAAATAAACTGCGTTTTATTTTTGAGTTAATTGCATGCTAACTAAGGGTGGATTTCTAATTTGATATTTTTGACAGATATGTTGGATGAGTTGCAAGAGCATGTTGAGTCAATTGACATGGCCAATGGTGAGTTTTGATGATTTTGAATGGTTATGATCTTGACTTTGTTGGAAAGTTCAGGGACAATAATTATGTTAATTAGTAGTTAGTTGTCAATTGTCATGCTTAAGCTTGTTTATGGTAGTTTCCTATGGGGAATTATTACATAATTTTATAGATCATGATTTAATTCTTCATCTGGAATTTTAGTATCGGTCTGTTATATGCTGGATGATGAAGTGCCATGAAATTTGGGCAGTGCAGGGGTCAATGTTGCACAAATAGTTATCACTCGTATTGAATTGATATGGTTTTGCATAAATCAATGCATTAGGTTTATTTACTCTGGCATCAATGGTCAACATTTATCAGGCTTTTTCTGTGAATTGTTGACTCATAACTTTCCTCGATAGTCTAATTGTTTTTGTTCTCTTATTTTCTGTGATCATGGCTATATCTTGGCACCGTAGAAATATGATTTTTCATTTGTTAGTCTGTACGTTTTTCTGTGGTTTTTGATAATTGGTTAGTTAATGGAATGGTGTTTTCTATGATTCGACGCTTGTATGTCTAACATATTTACTGGTATTACCTGTTTCCCAGATCTTCACTCAATTGGTGGGTTGGTTCCTCTTCTTGGTTACCTAAAGAATTCTCATGCTAATATTCGAGCGAAGGCTGCTGATGTTGTGACCACAATCGTCCAGAATAATCCTCGGAGTCAGCAACTTGTCATGGAAGCAAATGGCTTTGAACCTCTTATTTCTAATTTCAGCTCAGATCCCGATGTGACTGTTAGAACTAAAGCACTGGGTGCAATATCTTGTATGTATTATCATACCTTAGAGTTGTGATATTTTCTTTCCTGAGATTGGAATGGTACTGACTTTTCTGTTTTTGGAACAACTCTGCAGCACTAATTCGACACAACAAACCAGGCATCATTGCTTTTCGTTTGGCAAATGGTTATGCAGCCTTGAAAGATGCACTATCCTCTGAAAATGTGAGATTTCAAAGGTAATTAAGGTTATTCTGAAAAGCTGCTTCTAATCATGTTTTCCCTAGGAATTTGTCATTTAGGAGGAATTTGTACCATTTGATGTCCTCATTATTGATTTTGTAATTTAATTAATAACAGTGTTCATTTTTTTCACATGATGGTACTTCTATGTATTGATTAATTTTATAGTTAGAGTCTGTTTTGATACAAATTAAAAAATACTTGAGAATTTCTTTATTGAGAATAAAAATCTTTTCTTTAGGGGGGTGTATTGGTTTAGGATTTCATAAGATTTTAAAAGACTTTTTTTTGAGTAAAAATGTCCGTTGGTATTTGATCAGGATTTTATGTCACTTAAAAACAATCTAGTGGTATTCAATCAGGATTTTCAAGATTTTTTAAAGAGTCCATTAAAATTCATTGGTATTCATTTGAGACTTTTTACAACTTAAAAATAATCCATTGGTATTCAAAAGTATAGGGATTTTAAAAGATTGTTGTATTATAGGGATTTTGAAGAACTTTTTAGTAATATCTACAAATACCATATTCATAAAACAATCTCATCCAAACCAATAAGATTTTGGAGGATTGTTTGACTTGACTTTTCAAGTGCTTCAAGAATTTTCAAGTGAGTTTTTTTATCTATTTTATTTCTATGCTCATGTATTCTCTATTTTTTTTCTCTTGTTAATAATAGTGCACTACTGCTCATATATAATATTGTATAACTGTTCTCATTCCATTCTCCTATTTGGTGAAAATTTTGTAGGTAAATGATATTATCATTGACTTGTTATATTTTTCTCTACGTTATCTTTAATTGTCTTGCTCTATTTAGTTGAGATTGTTTCTCAGTTATATAATACAGAAAACGTTTGAAATTTCAACTTTTAAGTAGTAATTTTTTTTATAACACACGTCAAGAAAAGGAAAAGGTGAAAGTTAAAATTGATATCATGATCTCTATAATTAACTATAGATTTTCAAGACCTTGTAATCAATTTAGATTTATTGTTCCTTATATATATATATATATATATATATATATATATATATAAGAATTTGAATTAGAGTTTTTGTGAGTAGAATGAGATAAGAATAGATCTTAATTGGGGGAATAACCCTCTTAGTACAAAAACTGCAATCTCTCTCCCTTTCTTAAATTTGTTATTGTTATCTTTTCCCTTTTATGACTTAACAATTATTTTATTTCTTTTTTTTATTATGAATTTTTTTTTATGTTATGAAATTAGAATTTTTTATATTTTAAAAAATAAAATTATACTAAAAATATTTCTTCACGAGTGAATAATTGAAAGTAATTAAAAATTAAAAAATTATTTTATAACAAATTTCAAATATTTTTTTTTCTCCTAGTTGATGTTTGTAAATTTTTACTTCAGTACCGATATAAAATTAAGGGACATATTTAATTACAAGAGAGTAGGGTAGTTGTCTCATTATTTTTTTAATCATTTATAAAATTATAAATAAATATTTTAAATAAAAAATTATAAAAAAATTGAAATGTTTAGAATAATTTTTAGCATGTAAGACACTACATAACTTTTTTCGTAAAGAATGTCATTCTGATGAATTTCCAATTAGAGTGATGAATGAACCTTCATCTTCAACATTACCGGTTAATGAAAATCATGATTTTGAGCCTATTATTAAAATCCAGGAACAAAAACGAAACGATATTAATGTTTGGATGACCAGTATAATTATAGATATGTGAGTGAATTCTATTTAGAACGACATGATATTATAGAGAATTGTTATTATTATTATTATTTATCCAGATATTATTATTTTTTATTTTATTTTTATATCTGATTTTTTTAAAATTTGAATGTATAAAAATTTTTTTGAACTTTTATTTTATGTAAAAAATTTACGAAATTCTGCAAAGTTCACAAAGTCTCGCGGAATCCATTAAAATCTTAACTTAAAAGTCTTGCATAATCCATTAAAATCTTGATTGAAAGTCTCGTAAAATCTTATGTAATCTTAAAAGTCATGAAAATTCTGTAATGTCTTTTAGAATTCATTGGACTTTTTTCAAGTAAAAAAGTCCTTTAAAATCCTAATCCAATACACTTCTAGTAGAGAATGTCTCAAAAGTTCTTCTAAGCTTGTATTCAAACACTTTTAGTTCTAGAACACTGAATCCTAACCTTGGTTAATTTTACAATCTTTCAGGAAAGCTCTGAACTTGATCCATTACCTGTTAGAGGAGAACAGTTCAGATCGCAACATTGCAAATGAGCTCGGGTTTCCTCGAATGTTGATGCACCTTGCTTCTAGTGAAGATTCAGATGTCAGAGAAGCTGCACTTCGAGGTCTTCTTGAGCTCACTCGCAATACAAAAGATGTAACCGAGGAAGACAGTGAGAAAATGAAGCAACTTCTTCAAGAACGAATAAACAATATCAGTTCAATGTCAACTGAAGACCTCGGCGTGGTCAGGGAGGAGAGGCAGCTTGTGGACTCCCTTTGGAGCACGCACTTCGATGAGCCGTCTTCTCTTCGGGAGAAAGGTCTTCTTGTTCTTCCCGGGGAAGATGCCCCGCCTCCAGATGTTGCTAGCAAATTTTTTGAGCCTCCACTGAGATCTTCAGCTGTGAATCCATCTTCAAAGAAAGACTCGAGCAATGAAAAGAAAGAAACCCCGTTGCTTTTAGGGTCACCTGCAGTATCTAACAATCAAGTTAGTTCAAATAGAGAAGGAGGAAATGCTAGTTCATAGACAGATACTATCTATCAGATGAAAGTTTAAATGTTTATGGATTTTATCCTTTACTTTCTTTCTATCTTATCATACAATAGTTATCTCTTTCTTTCACTTATAAGCTATGTTTTTCTTTTTTTCCTTTTCTCACCTCAGATTGGTCTTCCATTGTGTCCTAGGATGATCTCATGGTTATAAGTAAGCCTTCTGTTATAGGTTTTTAATGCGTGATTAAAGTGGTGATACTGATCCCTGTGATTTTTTTTGCAGTTGTTATTTTTCATCCTTGTTATAGATTTTTAGATGTTACAATTCCATTCTTGCATGTATGCATGGTCCGAATTGTCGCCAATATCCTTTATGTTGTATTTGAATGAGAATTTTAAATTTTTAGAAAATTTGAATTATCTTTGATTTAATTTTCATTATTTGTTAAATATTTGTTTTGGATAAATTATTAAACACTAAACCTAAAACTTTCCTACAATGAAGAGACGAACCGAGTGAGCCCATCGCAAAGAACTCAATTTTAATTCTTTAAATTTTAAATTTTTTGCTTGGATATAATAATTTAATTTTTAATATATGTAAATCGAAACTTTAATTTTAATTTTATGAAATGATCCGTCAATTTTAAATATAAAATTAAATCACAGTGATTTATTTTATATATAAGTATATAACGAATCAAAGATATATATATTTTTTATAATATTCTATCACTCAAAAAATATTTAATTATATTTTAAAGATAAATATTTCCCCTAATTAATTTTTATTTAATTATATGACAAAAATAAGGTTTAGAATTATGCAGATGCTTAAAAGTATATACAAATGCAATATATTTATAAGAAAAAATAATATTTAAAAAAGAGTTTATAAAAATGAAAATGATATTAGGTATGTGGATAAAAATATTTAAATATATTATATATTTCTAAGTCTAAAATATATTAAAAGTTATAATCATATAAAAAATAAACATTAAAAACTTAGCACTATATCACACGAGTTATTACGCTGGTGTTTATAAAACAAAAAGTGGTTAGAAAAAAAAAAAAACTAATCAAAGCAGCATAGTGATTTGATGAACGGAAGGAAAAGGCAACACAAATAAATAAAGTTGATTAAAAAAAAAATTTAAAAACGTGAAGAAATTGTTTGAGTTAGTTTTTTTTTCTTTTTTTTTTCTTTGGTTAAATTCAATTTGGTCTTTGAAAGTGTGAATTGATTATTGCAAAGAAGAGTTTTGAAGTAAGAGTTGTTCTTGAGGTACATAAGTGAGTTATATTGTAATAACATATTTACCACAAATATTTATAATAGGTAAATAATTTATAACAATTGATAGATTTTACCCTAGTATTCTAAATCTTAGTATCTATCTAGTAAATGATTCTTTGGAGGCAAAGCAAAATGTGTTGGGGGGGGGGGGGAGGTGGGTGGTGGAGGGTGGGACGAGGATTATGAGGTCATAAGTGGTGGAGGAAAAATAGATAATGGTTATAGATTTTTTTTCTTCTCCTTACTTTTCTCATTAGCTTCCACACCATATTCTTTTCTACCTTTTATAAAAATAATACTATAGTTTCCCTTAGAGTTCTTAGTAGCTGTAACAAACTTATCAAAAATTCGCTCTTATGTTTGAGGGGCAAGTTGTCCTATCTTTACCTCTAAATCTCTAATTGTAACTTGTGTGTTCTTTTGATTTTATGTGAAGGTTTATATGAACTAGTTAAAAACATTTTCCAACCTTATTTGACGGTCATATAGGTTCATTTTAGGTGCTTAAGGAGGGGCACTAGATCTATTTGCATTATTTTGGTCCCATCGTCCAAGATTATGGTGTTATTGCTATTTTCCTCATTAAAGTTTCCACCTTGATTGTCGCTATACCTTCCTTGATTTCCCATTTAATTAACCTTCTATTGAGATTCTTCCACTATTGCCCCAAATTAGCCTTGTAGATGAGTGCTTTCACAACTCTCACAACCACTGAAACAGTATGCAAAAGCAGTTGTTGAGTCAAAAGTTTTTTTTTTGGGTTAATATTGCCTCATTGGGATCCAACTCGTACACTCCTTTTTGTGGTGCAAATCTTGACCTTTGAGATCCATTATGACTACTAATAATGCTCTCTATGATGACTATTGCTTCCTCTGGTGTCTTATAGTTAATGTTGCTCCTAGTTGAGACATTTAGGATAAGCTTTGTGTCAAATAAGAGTCCATCCAAAAAGGTACACATATGATCCATTTTGTCTAACCAATGACTCAAGTACTTCTTCAATAGATTATGATATCTATCCCACACTTCAGATAGTGACTCATCTGCCTTTTATCGAAAGTTATTGATAACCCATCTTGATTTGCTTGACTTTCTTGAGAAGGAAGTATTTCTCCAAAAAAATTTTGGCCAACTCTTCCCATGTAGCAAAAATGTTGGGTGAGAAAGATTGCATGCCCCAATAGCTCGCTCTCCTAGAGAGTAGGAAAGGAAACATTACCAATATGATAGTGCTATCTAGAACACCTTGATATTGCATAGTGTTGCAAATCATGATGAACTTAGATAGATGGGTATGAGAATCTTCATTGTTGGCTCTAGAAAAGTGATTCCCCTTATCATGTTAAGTAATGCTAGCTTAATTTTGAATTGAGTGGCTGCGGTTGTAGGTCTTGCAATGTTATTAAACTTGAGGGGACCATGGTGTGCCATGTGGTCATCCATTGTCTTCCTCATTGATGGTGGTGGCGGAGGAGGAAGATATGCTTTTTCTTATGCCATTAATTTAGGTACTATGATGTCTCGACTACTTGTTGTTGTCTCCTTCATAGAGTGTTATTTCTTCTATAAGTCCTTTCAATCTCTAGATCGTAGTACAGTTCTACAATCAGAGTTTCACCTCGCACGACAAATTTTAGGCTAGAAAAGAGTAGGTGAGATGTAATAAAAATTAAAATAACAAAATCAAGAAAAACATAAATTAAGAGCCTAATTTAGTACTATATTATAATTAAACAATTATAACACAAGTCTATGTAGATTTGATAAGTTGGGCTTCTATCTAATTTATTACTTACGATAATTGATATATTTGCTAAATGTATAACAAGTACTCAAAAGGGTTAATTCAAAAAATGTGGTTATTCTTGAATTATTAGACACTCAAGAAAATAATGTTCACAACTTCAACAATTATGATCAATGTGTTTTTTTAGATGTATTTTCTTTAATAATAATAAGAAATATATATTTATTTATTTGTAATTTATATTATTTAAACTTATTTTGACCTTTAAATTTAATTTATACTTTAATCCTTTTTTAACAATATTATACTATACTCATATATATATATATACATTAAAAAGTATTTTTATAAATTAAAAAAATAAGAAAACTTGTTGAGAAGTGAACCCCGTACCCAATTTCTCAACGTAATATAAACTGTGACATTTTGAAAAATGTTTCATAAAAGTGGCATTATGAAGTTTAAAAATATTGATTGCAACATTCTGACAAAAAAATTCATTAATTGATCTAGTTCAATTGCATAAACGGTCGAGCAAACCGTTACTCATTTCTTCCGTAGGAATATGAACAAATGCTATGCGTCAAAAGAATCCTCGATAGACCATTATAATGTTTATCTTTGACCTAAATTTCTTTACATCATTTAAACGAGTTTAATGATTTGAACTTAATAAACCAAAAGCCTAATACATTTTGAGCAAACCCAAACGACAGCCAACATATACAACGACAACAAATGTAATTGAAACACATAGGAAGACTATCAATTTTTTTTTTCTTCCCAAATTAATGAAACATATAGCCTATTCAATTTCTTGGTTGAGAACTAATTAAGTTGAACTTAAATAAGGTTAAACAAAAAATCTACACACAAACCTTTATTTTTTTCATCAGAATGCGTGTTTTTCAGTTGATTTTAAACTGATATACACTTTATCTTCTCAACATGTGATTTTGGACTTTGGCTGCAGTCATTCTCCATTTATCAACATAAATTATATGCAAGGAAAGCCAATTGTATTGGAGCCCCTTTCTAACCTCTACCAGATTATATGCATGAGTACAAAATAGGTTTTTTTTTTTTTTTTTTTTGTTCTAATTCACATTAAATTTTTAAGAAAGTAAATTGGAACCTAAGTCAATTTGGCATTTGTGAATGGTGAATAATGAGATGATAGTAGGTAATTTAATAAGTTCAACAATATTTATTAAAATAGATTTTGATATATTTTGATATCATTTTAAAAAAGTGAAATGGATTAGAGTTTAACTTAATACATATTTAGAACAAAGTTGAGAATGTGGATTCAAATGTCTCTCTCTTCATATCTGAAAAAATGTAAAAATAATTATATATAACTTTTTTTAGATGCAAAATATCACGTCATTGACGTGCAGTGACAGATTCAGAAATTTTAGATAATGGAGACAATAATTATTTATATATTTATAGTACTAAAAATTTTACATGTAATTTTTAAAAGTATAAATATATATTATAATTATTTTTTACAAACTTTTATATCTATACTTACGATTAATGATAAAAATAAGTTAGGTTAGACTATGTTATATTATAATTTAGTAGGTTTGAAATTTTTTAAAATACATGTCTTAAATATAACTTATTTATCTATCATAGACATTTTTTAAATGTTTGATTAGAACTACAATCCTAAAAATATACTTTATAATAATTTAATACTAATAAAAACATAAAAATAAATATGCTAAATTGTATAAAAATCAAGTTTAATTTATTTATAATATAAACATATTTTTAATATCAAATATAATATTTTAGATGATAACTTATTTCAAAACATATTTTATAATAAAAATTCTAAATAGAATATAAATCTTCCAAAATCTTTCCCATTTTGATTTTTTAATCAAAATATACAATCTTACAATCTTTACTATTTTAATTTTTTTAAATCGATGTATACGTAAATAAAAGTACAAAAGGTAAATATATATGCTACAAATTTTATTTTATCAAAAGTTAAACTTTTTAAAAAAATTAAGTTGTTATTAAGGAGTATTCTTTATCACATATAAGAACTAATCTCCTTTGAAAGTTTGATAAATATCAAATAAATAAACAAATCCTTTAAATTTATATTTTATACATATGATTTAAATATATATATTTATTTTGTTATAATATAACTTTTATTTTTAAAAATATTATTTTTTAGATAAAAAATATGTGTGTCAAATGCCCACTCTCTTCTACATGGGTCCATCTCTGTTTACGTGTAAACATACTTTTAATCTTATAAAATTAATTTGTAAGTTGCTTCTCACTTATATATATTATTATAATTTTAATTTTATATGAAGTGAGATCTTTAACATATTTTTTTATTATTATCATAAAAAAAGTGTTCAGAAAAAAAAAAACCAAACCGAAGAAATTGTATGAGCGGGATATGCTTTTCTTATTTAGAACGAGTAACACGCGAAGAGATTTATGTATATAGAATTGAAGATTCGATTACATTTTTAAATCCAACCTGCTACACGTATATATAAAATTTAACAACCACCTTTGTTTTTGTTCAATATCCCATTTGCCATTTCTAAAACTTCACAAGAAAATTCAGCTTCTGGAAATAAGCATCATTTCTAATGTGTTGGAATTTGCACCTTATTCTTCTACTTGCTCTTGCACTTTTCATACAGATATCATCTCAGCTTGGAACCTCTCGTTCAAAGGTAGAAGTGCTTCCTGGCTTTGAAGGGCCTCTTCCTTTTGAACTTGAAACAGGGTAAGAAACAGCAATTCTCCTTTTGGTTTCAAGATATTAAATTTTAATTTGATCAACTTAATGGTATTTACTCTTCATTCAGTCATGTGCAACAGTACTGGTAAGACATAACAAGTAAGAGAAATGGTTATGTTGTGTGTAAGAAATTATTACCTCCTTCAAGATTACTATGTGTTCATGCTTTCACATGATCTCATCCAACATGCATTTAAATAGCACTTAATTACATATTATCATGTAAAAACTAATTAGAAATAATGTAGTTTAGGTTTACTTAATATTTTTATTCCTTTTTAATCTAGTGTCATAGTTTTGTGCATATATCACAGGTATGTGGGATTGGGAGAAAGAGATGATGATATGCAAGTATTTTATTATTTTATTAAGTCAGAGAACAACCCAGAAAAAGACCCTCTTATGCTTTGGCTAACTGGTGGTCCTGGTTGCTCTTCATTATCGGGTCTTCTCTTTCAAATAGGTAACTTGAGATTTAAACTTTCTTATGTTAATTCCTATAATAACAAGCACTACATTTATATTTTATTACCCATCTATTTGACTAAGTCTATTTAGATATAATTAAGATGGATTTTTAAGGACTTCTCTATTAAAAATAAAAAGTATTTTTAAATAAAGAAACTCTTAAAAGTGTTTCTAGACTTATATCCAAACATGTTTTAACTATTTCACATTGGAAGATGATACATTAATGAACTATTAAAGTTGATCTAGTGATAGGATCAGAATAGGATGCAAATTGACACAAATAGTGTTATAGATGAGGCAGTATCTAAATTTTAACTCAATTTATTATTATTATTATTATTATTATTATTATTTTTATCTAATTCAAATACAATCATATAGCCAGGTTGGCATAGATTTGCATCATACAGAAATCATATTGCTGCAAAATATTGACACCACTGTTGTGCTTTCACTATTTTTCCATGTCTGGTTTACTTTTCCACTACTACAATTGAATTGATCCTACAAAAAGTGATTCACTCAATAACATTCCCAGACTGAATAAGTTTTGTCATCGAGTGTAAAATAGGTCCATTTGCACTCGACACTGAGGCATATGATGGGAGCAGGCAAAATTTGATCTTGAGGCCACAGTCATGGACAAAGGTATAGATTACAGAATGCATCCTCATGAACTTGACATTGATTTTGTTTGGTCAAGTTAACTCAATTTATAAAAATAATTATTAAGCACGTGATTGTAATGTGTTGAGACAACTGTATGCAGTGTAATACTTGTCCTTGTTACATGATTTTGTTATTGGAGTATGATGTGGTGCCACTAATGTAAATGTTCTTTTTTTTTTTTGTCAGGTATGTAACATTATTTTTGTAGATTTGCCTTTCGGAACTGGCTTCTCGTATGCAAAAAATCTCACTGCTCACCGAAGTGACTGGAAATTAGTTCACCATATCCATCAATTTCTTAGGAAGGTACACTCAGAATGTTACTGTCATATTTGGTGCGATCCTTTTCTTTTTCTCCTATGGTTTATTAGCTTACTTTAGGAGAAACCATCTCGTAACCATATTGAAAACAAGCTATATATAATTTTGATCATTTTGTTTGTAAGCTTACATCTTTATCTGGTAATCTCTGTAGTGGCTGATTGATCACCCAGAATTTATTTCAAATGAATTTTACATGGGAGCTGATTCATATTCTGGCATTCCTACCCCTGCTGTTGTTCAAGAAATTTCAAATGGTAAACCAAATCCATATGGCTTAATTCATAAGATGAAACAGTTATTCAATTAATAGCTATTGTCTTTTATTTACAACTTATAATGACAATGTAGCAGAAAATGTTTCTCTTAATTAATCATTTTAACTAATATTCTCACACTAATACACTAATTATTCGGATTCTCCTTTGGTCTAAAGAAGTTGGCAAAACATAAATTCAAGTCAAGATTGGATTTATTAATCTAATTTGTTCACTAATTATACTTAAATTTTTTACTCCACCTGTCTCACAATAAATGTAGTTTAAGGTTTACACACATATATTAAATATAACAACAAATATAGTGCTTTTTCAATAAATGCATTACTTTGAATTGTAGTGGTTAAATAATTTATTAAAGTAAAAATTAGGAAAAAGAAAACTAATTAATATTATACTTAAAAAGTGAAAAAATCATTCAAGGACATTTTCCAAATGCTAAAACTGTTGTCATTGTAAGACATAGAGAGTATTTAATAACCCCATTATCTTCCTTTTTGACTTGTTCTATGTTAAACTTTTGACAAGTGTGTCAATTGTCGTAAATAATAAAATAGACAAAAATACGAATATCAAATTCATAGAAAACTGCGATACAATTAATTAATCTAAAATATGCTAATTAGGGGAGTATATAAGAGATTTGTTTGAAGTACACATACATAATAGTTAAGAACATACTTTTAGGATTTCAATATCAGATTAAAAAGATAGTTATAAATTTTTAATAAAATATGTCAAAGAATGATATCACTGACCTTTCTCAAATATATCTTTTCCAATAATTTTTCAATTTCAGTTATTATTATATTAATTTAACAACCAATGAAAGTATTTTAACTGAATACCTTAGCTAAGAAATTTTAGATTTCTTAATAAAAATCTCAATTACTTGGTGAAGTTAATTAAATAACCTACATTAAGATTAGAGATTTAAAATATCAACTAATAATTTTTATCTTATTTCTAGTAATAAGTATTATTAGTGTTGTTATTCAGATTGTAATTTTAAAAAAATTTCCCTATCTTTATCAATTCTATGAAATTATGCAATGGGTGATCAAGTAATTCAAGACATCAACAAGTATTAAGATAAGAAAAACAACAATTTACTAAATAAAAATCTCATTGAATAAGAATAAGAAGAATTATATGTAATCAAAGTCAACTACGTCAAATCCAAACAATAGGATGAACTAGTCACTCATGGCTAATAAAATTGCTCAAAAGAAAGCAAGAAGACCTTAAAGAACTCTGCGATGTCTCTTGTTTCTCGCTTTGCTCTCTCTAATACAGCTTCAAATGCTTTGTGAATCAATGAATTCTCTCTTTATATCAAGTCCCTTTTATAAATTTTCAGATGGGTTTTTTCCTCATTTCAACTCATTTAAGCAAGTTCATTGATAATTAAACTTTATAAGTGCTTGATGTGTTGGCTTGCTTGAGCGAACATTTTTGTTTTGTGGCTACTTTTATAGGTGTTTCAGCCTCTACTTGCTCAAGCGGCCAAGGTGGCTCGCTCAAGTAAGCAGAGTGTAGCTTTAAGCAACTTTAGAGCCTCGTTTTAAGTAAAAGGTCTTGATATCTCTTGATTCGTCTCGACCTTCCCTTGTTCAAGAGACCATGATGATTGACTTTGAGCGAGACCCTTATTCAAGTCTTTGGCTAGTCTTCTCTTCCTTCTTGCTTTCCTAAGTCTATGACACAAAAAACCGTCAAAATACCTGAAACTAAAAGAATGCTATTAAGATAAACTAAACTAATCTTTAATATTTATTTTGACAGAAAACATAAGATATGTTTAATAATTATCTAAATTAATCAAAAGTTATACACATATTTGATAATAATCATTATGCCCCTTTGAAACTTGCTATAAAGAAAAATGAGATAAATAAAAAAATATTATACACACTATTTCATAACACCTAGCTTTGGAGACTTTGAGTCCTTTAAAAAATAATTCTAGAGTACAATATGAGTACAATTACACCGATCGTTTGTTGTACATGAGAAAAACAAGCAAATGCACATATATGTTTTGCTTAACATGCACTTGATAAACCTAACCGTTATTCTTTAATTTCCTTGATTAACAGGAAATGAAATAGGTCTCCAACCACGGATAAATATCCAGGTCTGCAATCAATTTCTCTTTCTACGCTTTTACTTTAGAAAAAAGAAAATTGTACAAAGAAGGTTTTGATAATGGAATCCAATTTTCAAAACTCCAAAACATTCAACCAAGCTTTTCACGTTTTCAAGGTTGTTATGTTATCAACTCCTCTTTATGAACAATGAAGACTAAATTGATGTTACGATATTTCCAGGGATATCTGCTAGGGAACCCCGTAACAACACGAAAAGAAAAAAATTATCAAATCCCATTTGCTCATGGAATGGGACTCATTTCTGATGAACTCTATGCGGTAAAGTAGTACATTTTTCTAGTTTAATAAGGCTACTTACATTGTATTTTCTAATAAAGTTAAATTTTGCATGAAAATATTTAGTTATCATTTTAGTTTCAGCAGAGTCTGACGTATATAGTTCATTTAAAAAATGTTAAAAAAGAAATGTCAATGGTTCTTACTTTCTTAGTCATCTACCATCTATGGACAGTCACTGCAGAGAAATTGTAAAGGAGAGTATATAGATGTTGATTCCAGAAATGAATTGTGTTTAAGAGATCTCAACTACTTTGATGAGGCAAGTTATGACTTTCCCATTTTTGTTATGATAATTCTTTCTGCCCTTGTTATTCAAAGCAGTTCAGTTTATTCAGCATATTTGTAAACTGTTATTTCTTATTTTCAGTGCCTTTCAGAAATTAATTTATCGAACATTTTGATTGGATGTGCCAAAGATGATTATTTGCCTAAGAAACATGAAGCTCAGTGGAGGAGATCTCTGAATCAGAAGTTTGATGCCGCTCTTAGTTCTTATACAAGAGAGCATAACTTATGCCGCAGTGTAACTTTTGCATAGCTTGAATAGACTCTCACGCACATCTTTTGTCCACAATGTTCCAAATTTGATTTTCTCCATTTTACGTTATTGTAGATTTACAGTGATTTCTTTTCCGCTCAATGGGCCAATGATGAGAGTGTTCGCAAGTCGCTGCATATTCGAGAGGTTTGATATAAACATCTAGTTCATTATGTTTAGTGGATTGGTAATACAGCATCACAATTAACAGCAAATACTTTATTATATGCTTAGTTCTAAATGAGTTTAAATTTGAGTCAGACGTTGACCAAAGTAGCTTAGCAGTTAAAGGATATAATACAGATTAATGTACATACCTTAATATATTGTAGGGAACTATAGGAAAATGGGAACGCTGTTACAAAACTGATTTTGAGTTTCAGATCTCTAGTAGCTTTGACATTCATGTAAATCTCAGTGCAAAAGGATATCGTTCGTTAATATACAGGTGGATATTTTCACATCTAAGTTTTGTTTAGTTCTCAGAAAACTGTTTTTTTTCTTGTATTTTCTTTTAGCTATCTCGTGGCTATCAAGAGCCAGCTGATTAATTTTACAATCCAATTTGTGTTTTGTTGACATTGACAGTGGGGATCATGACGTATTAGTGCCTTTCATGTCAACTCAAGCATGGATAAGGGCTTTAAACTATTCCATTGTGGAAGATTGGAGGCCATGGTTTGTAAAAGGTCAAGTTGCAGGGTAGGCATGAGACTTTAGCCTTTATATCATAAATATTTAGTTGCTTTAGATTCAAAACTATATCATGCATCAGAATCTGACCATTACTCACACATTTGCATGTGTTGGTCCTAGTGGGAAAACCCTGGGTCCCTTAGCATATGGGATCACGAGTTTGACCCAAAATTTAAGTGCAGACAGAAAATACCCAATCAGCATGAAATGGTGTTGTACTGTTGTCTAACAGATATACAATTACACTCTAAGAATTGAGACATGCATTATAAGATTTTCCAACACTCTCCTCTTGATAAATTACGTAATGTCTACTAGAATAGGCAAACCATGAAAATGTGCTATTGAGATTTCCGTTGAAGTACTTTTCTTATAATTGTAAATCAGTTTAATTTCATCAACGGTCTCAAACACGGCAAGTATACCGGCCGTTCAAGTAGTAAAAATATCGTATCCACAGGGATTAGAAGGTAAAATAAGCATTTATTGACTATTCGTGCCTAAAGAATAATTCCAATTTATAGTTTGTCATGTAAATGTGAGATGAAGAGCATGACTATTGGAATGTTAAAACTATAAAAAGATTAGTTTTAGAATGGGAAAGAGTAGAAATGGGATAATGGTATTGTGAGGCTGTGGGGGTCAGATTTCACCGAACGTAACACTAATGTATCCTTAATCTCTTGTTAAATTCATTGCTTAGTCAACCCAATAGTTTACTCAAACCTAATCCCTTAGAGAAAGAGCCTAGGTGCGGATATTGAATATCAATCCCTTGAGTACCCAATACCTACACCCGCATTACGGGCTAGGGTTTAAGACTACTAATGGGTCAAGCTCTATCCCTAGATACAATCTCCACTAGGCATATGTTCCAGAACTAATTTCAAAGGTATTTCCCAATACTCAATGGAACCTTAAATCATGCAAAGGGTGATCAATCCAAAGCAAGCATTAAGCAAAGAAACAAACACAACAATGAATGAAACAACAAATATATATATCATTGAAAATGTAAGGATTACAATAGAGTATGTTGGTTACATCTAACCCCACAAAATGGGTGAAACCACTCAACAAAGAGGGCAAATACAAAATAGAGATGAAAGGAGGATGAAGAACCGAAGGAAAGATCCGCACACGGACGATCCCAAGCCCTGGGAATCCCTTCCGCAGCTCCTGGAGGCGCCCAATGTGAGAATGAGGGAGAAACCCTCGAAAATGGCTTCAAATACGAGCCTGGGAGGTCAGATTAGGGTTTCGCGCCCGACGCCTAAGTCTTCGCGCCTGGCGCAGCGTCTTCTGAGCACTTTCTGCCTCATCATAAGCCCGGCGCAATTACTTTTTACGCCCGGCGCAGTGTCTTCCAGAGGCTTTCAAGCATTCTCTGCCTTAGAGCAAGCCCGGCGCAATTCTCTATTAAGCCCGGCACAATTCGTTCCAGAGAGTTTTGAGGTACTCTCTGCCTCGATCACGCCCGGCGTGGTGGAGTCTCGCGCCCGGCGCATGTATGACTTCCAGAAGTCCACTGCTCTGTTCTTCTCAAGCCCGGCGCGGCGTCATCTTGCGCCCGGCGTAGCCACTCTGCTCTGCTCCTTGGCTCCTTTTGTTTCCAATCCCAAAGATCTTCAATCCTCAAATCTCTAGCTCAATACCTGCACAAAAAATGAAGTGTATTAAGGTATTTTTAGCTGAATTTGGGTTAGTTATATCTGCACGCAAAATGAACCAAAAAGAGAACAATTATATTGTAATGGTTCAAAGGATGAGTGAAATGTGTTCAATAAGTCTCATCCAAAAAGAGGTAAAATTGAGACTTAACAGTTATAGATTTGAATGTCAAGAAGTTTTGGCTTTTTGCCTTGTGTGGTTTATTCTATTCTATAATCCTTAATTGCACATTAATGTTAATTTCTATAATCATGATACAATTATTAGGTAACAATAATAACCGTTATATTATTCCTAATTTTTAGATATTTAGAATTTAAATATAAAATGAGTCTTGCGATTAAAATTAAATATATTAAATAATATATAAGCAAGAAAATTTCATATACTTTCATGATTAACTCCCGCACTCATCAGTGGGATCCCATCACCCCGATATCCCTTGCCGCAAAAGTCATACCTGAGGGTAATAGAAGACGAAATAATGGCAGATTCCTGATTAACATATAAAAGACGGCAAAATTTTAAAGATAGAAAAAAAGGTGATACACACTATTTTTCAATCCTATTTTACCTTTGTTTCATTTTTATATTTTGCTTTTTCTCCCAATAAACCCTAAGACAAGAAGCATGTGTCCAAATCTTTGTGAATAATTTTCATTTTATGCAGATACACAAGAACTTACTCGAATCAAATGACTTTTGCAACTGTGAAGGTAAGATCTTTCAAATTTTAACAATTGTACCTCTTTGTTCTTTTTCTTTTTTTTAAGAAAAATGCATTATGTGGTGAAATATTTATCTCATGTAGGCTTGTCTAAATTTGATGTTATTGTAATTAATTGCAGGGTTCAGGACACACAGTTTCCAGGTACACGCCCGAGGAAGGTTTTGGCATGTTCACAAGGTGGATAGCTAATTTACCTTTGTAACTCCGCACCTATGTTGGCAGAAACAAGGTTATCAATGTTACGCTCATTTCTCTATCATATTTTTTGAATTATCAATGTTTAAAGATTCTGTATAATAAATGAGCAATGCAATGGCAAATGATTGTCTTGTAATGTCTCTAACATTTAATTCTTTTTCATTTCTCTTGATCTGAATTTCCATATTCTTCTAGAGAATGGTATCAACAGGAAATATATATAATTCCTACTTTATGAGGAGAATGGGGAATATTTACTAATTTTAATCAGACTATTATCATTACCAACTATAGCGAAGAAATACTAAAATATTCGGAGAGTATTCCTTTCCCTCTTTTCAAATCACGATTATCATAGTTGAATAGAAGGAAGTGGTGGCATTATTGTAACTTTTTATATAAACTACAAGTATGTTTTACCGAAATTATTAATAAAATTATGTTAAATACAACTGTTGTTTTAGTGATGCACATCTTAGTCTATAAAGTTCTCATTTTGCTCTCAAAATAAATAAATAAATAAATAAATAAATAAATATATAGATATATACATATATATATATATATATATTCTTTTAAAGTAATTAATTATTGTACTAATATAAAAAATTTATCGTAAAAAGTAATGATTAATCTCTCACAAGATGCTTATAAAATAAATATTTTTTTAATATAATTTATTTTATA